TATTCTAACATCTTACAGGAGCTCTATGAAGTAGATTTCATCATTCTCCTCATTCATGATGAGAAAACATAGGCACAGAGAAGTTACTGACCAGCCTGAACTCACACGACTTATAAGAGCTAGGATTTGAATGTATTTTCTCATTTGATCCTGAGCATTGCTATGATACTGATGGTGATTATTAGTTTGTTCATTTTGCAGTCTAGAAAATGGAGGGGGATTATGTGGCTCACGCGAAAACAATTTTTAAACAAACGCATAGTGAGCACTTCTCCAAGTTTTATTTATCTAATTAATGGGGGAACCAGCAAGATGATAAAACTGGTTTAAAATTGGGTAAGGGAAACTAAGACATATTTGTGTGGGAGTGTGTGTATTTGATAGTGAAAAAAGGAACGCCAAGATAAAATTGCTAAATTAGATACAAAACTAGTTAATATCCTAGGAGCTGTGAAACCATAACCTTTGAGGTTATTTTTTCTACTAGTTGGAAATATTTGCATTTCTCTTGTATCTTATTAAGTTTTTACAAGTTAACATCTGATTTTACAGAGTGGAACAAGGGCTTCCCTAATTAATTGTAAACAGTACATCTTTCAAAGCCACATTCTTCCCATAAAGTCCGGAGAACGGTAGACAGGCTATTCAGGAGGCTGAGGCAGGGGAATTGCTTGATTCCTGGGAGGCGGAGGTTGCAGTGAGCCAAGATCACGCCACTGCACTCCAGCCTGATGACAGAGCAAGACTCCATCTAAAAAAAAAAAAAAAACTAAAATGCGGATTTGTTAATTCTTCCCTAGAGAAGGGAGGGGATTTTGTATTTTTTTAACAGTCTTTCCGGGTGTTGTGAAGCTGCTGCGCTGTCGCATGGTGAGAACATTGTTACTAACACAGGCAGGATGAAGACCCTCCTGGTGAAATAAGAGACACCAGCAGATCAGGACCTCCCAAGGCATCAGGAAAGAATTAGATAGAGAAAGATCCAGGGAAAGGAGGTGTCAGCAAAAATTGCTGCTTATATGAGCAGGGTGTTGCTCACCTATGCTGAGCTTGTCTGCAGAAGGGTATTTTTCAAGGTAATTTGGAAATTGTTATCACTTTATCTTCACTGGTTTGCTTATCTGAAGCAAGAGGAAGACAGTTTGAGCTCCCAGAAGATGCTTTGCAAATTCATTTTGGTGTCACTGCTCCTTCCTCTCTAGGGGGTGTTTTAGCATAGAGAGGCATTTGAAATTTTGTCTGACAATGAGTAGAGCTTAAAGGAATTGTCCTGAGTTTGAAGCTTCCGAGCCTTAGGTGCGACGGGTCCGAGCTGTTTTCAGGCTGCAATGTACTTTCGGCGCCTGGCTGCTTGTACAGGTTCCAGTTCTTTCTTAGAGAGTGACCTAATGTTTTATGCCCAGTATTTGGGGGTAGCTTATTTTCCTAGATGGGAGTCTGAAGATACAGATTTTGCTCAGGGACTTTGGGATCTAAATGACCTGGATTTTGCTCAATTGTAGTGCTGGCTACTGTTAACGTTGGTGCCGAGACGTGGCAGAGTGTCCTACTGATTTCTGCCTGTCTGTGGGCTCCTAAGCATGCAGCAGACAGAGCAGGAGGCAGCGGGGTACAACAGAAATCACTTTTCTATTAAAGCTAGAAAGAAGGAGTGGGCGGAATGGGAAATCTTGCACAGTCCTTTCTCTTCCTGGATGCACATCACTCACAAGTCATTTCCTGAAAATTCGAATGCAATCCAGTGGTGAGAGACGGCTTCCTGCGGGTCTGCTGAGCCAGCCCCTTGTCAGGGAGGAGATGAGAACAAGATGTGGTCAGAGAATGGGGCAGCTGGGCGGAGCCGGGCTGCTCAGTGGCCATGTACCCTCCTCTCTGTGGGATAGCAGCATCCTTTGGACGTAAGAGCAGCACCTGGACACATGGGCATATATAGACCTGACCTGGGGGAGTTGCAGAGTTGTTCAGACAGATGGCTGGACCCCAACCCTAGAGTTTCTATCTGATTCATGAGTCTGGGTGGAACCCGACAATTTGCATTTTTAACTAGTTTCTAGATGATGCTGATACTGCTGCTTCAGAAAGGATGATTAGGTAGAAGAGGAAAGCGGATTGTTTTATGTAGTTTCAGAGACCAGAATGAAGGCCTGTGGGTGCCAGGGACAGAGGAATAGTTTTTCATCTAGTGTAAACATTTTAACTACTATATGTAGTCAGAAATGGAGTGGATAGTCTCGGGAGCTCCCTGTCCCTGGAGGTGTCCAGTGGCAAATGACTGTCTGGCAGATTGCTGCACTAGATAGAAGGTTCATTCATTTGTTTGCGAGTTAATATTCACTCATCCACTCATTCACAGAATGCACATGTACTGCCTGCCTGCTAGGTACTGGGGGCTGGGGAGAAGCCTTCAAAGACACCAAGCTCCCTGTTTTGGAGAGCTTACAGTGTAGTTGGGATTTGACTATATAATTTCTAGGATTCCTTTCAGTGCTGAGGCTCGGAGAGTCCTAAAATGATGGGGTAATGTCCTTGGATGGATGATTTTTTTTCTCCCTTGCTAAGACTCAGAAGAGGCTGGGAATGTTTTTACCAGGAGCGCATTTTCTGTGGGAAAATTCACATCTCCCCTCTGGCACCATTAAACTCTAAACTCCTAACCAGTTGTACATGGCGCCATCTGTGAAAGCAGACCCAGGAAATGGGCTGTAGGAATGAGCAAACTGCATTTTACCACTTCTCTTAAGTAATGTACTACTGGAGAGATCATGGCTGGGGAAAGTTAGAGAGAAGAAACCGTTGAATTCCATCCGTTTTCCTGGATTCTTCTGTCATAATGCCTGTTGAAAGCAATAATGGTTGTCACTAACTTTTACCCAGCTCCGCTTTGTACCAAACATAGCATTAAGCCTGCTACATTTATTGTGTCATTTGATCCTCATGACAGCCCTATCAAATGAGCATATTGTTCTTATTTTTGCGTAGGAGGAAACAAAGGTTCAGAAACGTGCATTTAGTTGTTCATGGCTATAGAGCCAGTACATGTCAGAGCTGGAATCAAAACTTCAGTTTTCCAGTGTCCAGACCATGCTAATTAGTTAAGAGGGTTTTTCACTGAACAAACGTTAAGCACTGACATAAACCAGTGAGCAAAACTGCTTGGCCACTCCCCTCATGAGGCGTACAGTTTTTCTCACCCAGACAAATGGGTGACTCCTCCCTGGACTCTTGGGCTAGTCAGATGCTAAGGAGAAAGAGAAAGGACTGGGAGACAGATTCTTGCAAGTTAGCCACTGACCCTAAGTCTCTGTGTGAATGAGAATTTCTCTTCACCAAGCTGGGGTTCGTGCTTTGCTTCATTTTTACATTTTCCTGTTGGGCTTCTTTTCTTCTTGTCCAAGGCAAGATGTGGAAGGCCTTAATGTAGTATAGGAGACAATTCTTGTGGCATTTGCCTTCTGATCTTACAATGGGGATAGAGGGAGATCGGAGAGGTCCCGGAACTTAAAGCTGGAAGTGACTCTAGAGGGATTTTAGAGACCCTCTACGATGACCCTCTCTTGCTGGGAAATGTCACCTCTTTCAAGACCTGACTTATCCCTGAAGATTTCTTTGGCTGTCTGTGCTGGCCTAAGCCTACATTTTCTGCTTTTTAAGAGCTGTTTTAAATTAGATTTTTAGTTTTCAAAACACCTCTCTGATAGTTAATTTAAAAGTCAACCAACTTCAGAAATATGCAACTTACATTGTGAACATCTTCTGCAACCCCTAAGATAATCACCACCAACAACAGGCGCTTGTTTCTCCAATTGTTTTTGTTTTTTGTTTTGAGACGGAGTCTTACTCTTGCCACCCAGGCTAGAGTCCAATGACACCATCTCGGCTCACTGCAACCTCCGCCCCCCAGGTTCAAGCGATTCTCCTGCCTCAGCCTCTCGAGTAGCTGGCTGGGATTACAAGCACCCACCACCACACCCAGCTAATTTTTGTATTTTTAGTAGAGACACGGTTTCACTATGTTGACCAGGCTGGTCTTGAACTCTTGATCTCAGGCAGTCTGCCTGCCTCAGCCTCTCAAAGTCCTGGGATTACAGGCGTGAGCCAGTGCGCCCGGCCAACCTTGACTTTCTGTGGATCAATCCTGCCTTTAATGTGGCTGAACTATTAATAGTTGAAACATCCATTTGGCTCTTACATTATTCTTTTAACTTTTAGAGAAAATTCTAAGAACATTTCTTGGAATTGCCTTGCCTTTGGTGAGGGATTCTTAACCTCTATTTCAAAGGGTCTGTTGCAAGAAAGAAACCAATGTCCAAGTTTAGAAAAGCAAAAAAGGAACTTATTGGAGGGGTAACATATAGAATTACCGGGTCTCGGGAAACCTGAACCGCTAGGTGTCAGAAACAGCAGGCAACAGCAGCTTAGGGAACCCCTGTAGCAGGAACAGAGGAACAGATGCATCGCTTCCATCTGTTCAGACCTGGCAGCATCCCTCCACCGGCTTCACTTGAAACACGGGTCACCCTCTGGCCAGGGCCAAGTAGGACACCTTGATTGACAATCTCACCAAAATATGCATCAGAGAAGAGGTATTCCCTTAAAGAAAAATTGGTCTGCAGATACTAAAAATTGGTAGATCCAGTGCTGGAAAAATCAACTAAGGTGCACAATAGGGCTCATAGGCCCTGGGAAATTTTGCCTGTGTTTGCACGTGTGTTTTCCAGGACCCAGACAAACATTAAATCATTGCTTTAGTTCTGTCAGTTCCGTTTAGTTGGAGTGATGTTCCCACAGCGATGATAAATTATATTTAATTTACGTTAAATATAAAATTAATAACAAACTTCTTCTGGTTTTCCGTTTTGCCCCTTAGCCCCTTGTGGCTGCCCGTTTCTTTTGCTTGGAGATGCTTGGGATAGTCCTGCCGGTTCAGTTAAAATCAATAGTTGTTGCTAGGAGATGGAATTCATCCACTTAGATATAATGTCTCTTTTTATTTTTTGCAGGCAACTTTTTGCTCCTTCCTACACAGAAACCCACTATACTTCAAGTGGCAACCCTCAAACCACCACACTGAAGTCAGAGGTGAGTTCAGGTTCACAAGCATCTGTCCAGCAGCTGTCCTCTCCCAGCACCACTCCTAGGGACAGAGGAGATGCCTGATGGAGTTGGTCCCTCCTCTGAAGGAAGCGTTTTCCCCAAGCTTAGAACAAGGGAGCAAACAAGAGAAGCAAAACATGTATTTGATGTTTCATAGGTGCTCCTCCTCCTCCTTTGCTGACTAAAATGGCTAAAGAAATATAGAATATTTTACGGTAATTGCATCTGATTACAACTGATACAGATTATTGTAAAACATACATGTTCTTTGCTTTATGTTAATTACCTACATATTAACAAAAGTTGTAGTGAAAGGAATGACTTACTGATAATCCTGTCTTCTCATCCAATTAGACATTTGATTATTCCTTTTTAAATGGATGTGTAACATTTACAGAGTTGTAATCACTGCATACATTTTGTAGTCTGCTATTTCAATGTGATTTTTAAGTTATGAAGATTTTCTTAATTTGCTTCTATCTTCATATTGGACATTTTTTCCCTTAAAGTTGTTTTTGAGTAGGGATGTTTACACAACGTCAAAGATCTTTCATTTAGAAAATGGTCTTTCAGATCATTACATGTCAGTTTGCTTTACCACACTCCACTGGTAGACATTTTAGGTAGTGAATCATGCACATTTCATGGTGGCTAGCTCTTCTTACAGGGATGCCTATTGGAATTTGTAGGCTCAGAACATTGATTTTCAACCAGGAGAACCAATGGTGCTCCCCTGACCCCAGGGGACACTTGGCAATGTTTGGAGGCAGTTTTGATTGATTGCCATGACTGGCAGGGAGGATCTACTGGCGTCTGTATTCTACAATGCATAAGACAGACACCACCCCCCGCAAACAATAGAATTATCCAGCCCCAAATCTCCATAGTTCCCAAGTTGAGAAACCCTGGATTCGAATGACCATTCTCAAAATCTGGGCTGGTGAGATGGGGTGAAGAGGGAAGATGCATGCCGACAGGAGCAACGGTGGCCTTTGCCTTTGGGGCAGGACATAGTGGACTACTGAGGCACAGTACAGACTGGGAGGTGTGGTGTGGAGAACAGCAGAAGTCCCTCTGTCTCAGGACGCCTCCAGCAGCCTCCCATGGAACCTGAGTATTCTACCGGGCCCATTCTTTAAAATATCCCTGCTGGAGTGCAAGTGTCCAGCAAGATAACACTAGCCACTCAGTCATTAACAGCTCAGATTAGTTCACCAGATTACCCCTGGATGTGGAAAGAGATACAGGACAGGCAAGTCTCTGTCGCCCAGGTTGGAGTGCAGTGGCTCGATCTCAGCTTACTGCAACCTCTGCCTCCCAGGTTCAACCGATTCTTCTGCCTCAGCCTCCCCAGTAGCTGGGATTACAGGCACCTGCCACCATACCTGGGTAATTTTTGTGTTTTTAGTACAGATGGGGTTTCACCCTGTTGGCCAAGCTGGTCTTGAACTCCTGACCTAAGGTGATCTGCCCACCTCTGCTTCCCAAAGTGCTGGGATTACAGGTGTGAGCCACTGTGCCCGGCCACAGTTTTTGATAGATCTGAGAGATCTGAAGCATAGCAACCGGGTAGCTCAGGGGCTGTGTTATATGGCTGGCTGTGAAGACCAGCGCTGCCTTCTTCACCAAGACTGTCCTGGATGGGGACAGAGTTGGTAGTGTGGCCAGTGCCTGCAGCAAAGCTGGGCTGTGTCTTCTCATCCCCAGGGAGGCTGTCCAGCTGTGACTTCATATTCTTCAATGCCCCTTGGTCAAAGCTTTTCCTCTCTTCACGAGACCTCTGTTCTCTGTCTCTAGGAGCAGGGTGGGATGGGGGAACAGGCATGTCTAGAAGGCCTTTGGCCATGACAGCCTCCTTCAAACACCCTTCTCTGAGTTTGGATCCTGCCACTTCTATACCCACAGCTCAAGAATGGGTCTCAGTCCACAAATTTGCCATGAGCTCATGCTTTCTGCTATGAAAGCCCCCTCGGGGTGGCCTCATAAGGCTGAGACGCTGAGGAATGCAATGACTTAATGACTGGTCCTTCCTTGTTCTTTGTGCTCTCAGCTTGTGCATTAGGCAGAGATGTTGTAATGGCCTTTCAGAAACAGAGAATTGGAAGAGAACCCCCCTCATCCCCAGAATCCCCTCCTTCCAGAAGGTCTCGTTGACTGAAGCACATCCTAACTGAACCGTGGGAGGACAACTCATTGTTTTTTTTACATCCCCTGCTACTAGACTCTTGCAAAGCTCCCACCCAGGCCCATGGAGTTCTCATTTGGGAGCTGAGATCTCAATGAAAAATGGGAATGGAATAAACCACTGAGCCGCCCTTGACCTGAATGTTGCGGACTGCACTCTACTACCAAACTTGGCCTGGGGTAGCTGGAGTTCTGGGAACCTTTCAAGACTCATCAGCCAGGCCTTTAGGCTACAGACCCATCTAGGTCAGGTGGCTGGGGGAATGGGTCTGTGAATATGTTCTAACAGAAAGCGTGACAGGGTTTGCAATCTGAAGCCAGGGTTATCATCTTGGCTTTAACTAGTTATAGGACTTTAAACAACCCCCTTGCCCTTGACCACACTAGTGTTGTTTTCTCATCTGTAAATTGGATATGCTGATATCTGACTCGCAGGGCTGTGGAAGGGTAAGGTGAATCACTGATTTTTAGAGGAATTCATAAACATCTCTTCCAGCCCCACATTTTACAGATGAGGCAGTTGAGAGGAGAAGAGGAAAAGTAATTTGCCCAAGCCAAATAACCAGTAAGTGGCAAGGCGTAGGCTAGAACTTGTGAGAAGCTGGGGACAAGAAGTGTGACAAACCAAGTTCCTCCTTTGCTACTGCTTGGAGAGGCAGAGGATGGAGCTTAGGGACAGGCTGCTGGGGTTGCAGCCTCCACTTTGCTGTGTCACCTTGTGAATGACTTAGAACCTCTGTTTCAATTTCCTTCCTTTAGGACATGGCAATAATAATATCTACCTCATAAGACTGGTCAGAATCAAAGGAAAAAATCTGCCTAAGTTGTTTACCAAGCAATAAGAGCTGGGTGGATGTTAGCTCTTTCATTTTAGACGTAGGGCCTGGCTATGTCCCCCAGGCTGGAGTGCAGTGATGTGATCGTAGTTCACTGCAGCCTCGAACTCCCGGCTTTAAGTGATCCTCTTGCCTTGGCCTCCCAAAGTATTGGGATTATAGGCATAAGACGCCATGCCTGGTTAGATGTTAGCTCTTATTGTTTGTTTGTTTGTTTTTCGTTTTTTTGAGCCAGTCTCACTCTGTCGCCCACACTGAAGTGCAGTGACGTGATCTCAACACATTGCAACTTTTGCCTCCCAGATTCAAGCAATCCTCCCGCCTCAGCCTCCCGAGTAGCTAGGATTACAGGCACCCACCACCACGCCCACCTAATTTTTGTATTTTTAGCAGAGATAGGGGTTTCATCATGTTGGCCAGGCAGGTCTCAAACTCCTGGCCTCAATTGATTTGCCCGCCTCAGCCTCCCAAAGTGCTGGGGTTACAGGTGTGAACCACCACACCTGACCTCTTATTGTTATTAATAGTAAGTTGTAGGTGTTATCGTCACATGAGATAGTGTATGTGAGAGCTCTGTAAATTGTAAAGCATGTTACAGAAGTCAGGTGCTCAATTTTTAAGAGCACTACAGCTATGAACACTCTTCGCATCCACTTAAAGATAGGAAGAGGTGCGGGGATTCTTCACAGCCATTTCTGGGTTTCTGGGTTTCAGTTTTTTCTCTCTTGTTTTTTTTTTTTTTTTTTTTTTTTTTTTTTAGACGCAGTCTCACTCTGTCACAGTGGTATGATCTCAGCTCACTGCAACCTCTGCCTTCTGGGTTCAAGCAGTTCTTTTGCTTCAGCCTCCCAAGTAGCTGGGACTACAGGCGTGCACCATCACGCCCAGCTAATTTTTTTTATTTTTAGTAGAGGCAGGGTTTCACCATGTTGGTCAGGATGGTCTCAATCTCTTGACCTTGTGATCCATCTGCCTCAGCTTCCCAAAGTCCTGGGATTATAGGTGTGAGCCACCGCGCCTGGCCTCTGTTCTTTCTATTAACCAGCGTTTTGAAACTGTAGCTGATAAACATTTCTGAACTCCTTGATTCTCTGTCATTGCAACTTCTCTGAGCCCCATTTAACCCACACAGGCCCAGCCCCTTTTCTTCCCATGAATAATCCTGTGCTACGGGGTTTGTGGCTTCCCTGTTGAGTTCTAAGGACCAGGTTCAGGACTTGAGTGTTCATGAGGGCCCTCCAAAATCCCAGATCCCAGGGACAGATAGAGAAGCCACATGATAGGCTGGCATTTGAAAGCAGTTGGAATCCTGGCCAGAAGGAGGGTTTTGCCTGCCACGCCTTCTTTCATAATCACAGCACAGTGACTTTCCTTTGTGCTCCTCTCAAGGGGGGCATCTGACTTGTTTAAAGTCTAGAAGAGTTTGATGCAAAGCTAGGGGTTGGCTCTGTCCATCCTCCTGACTGCTTGAGCTTGAATGGGCAGGAGAGCCACATCGCTGGCAGATGGATCGCCTGCAGATGAAAGGGCACCTGTGGTCTGGAGAACAAGGCCGCACTGAGTGTCAGCTTGGCCTGTATCCTTTGATTTGGCTGCATGGCTGGCTGGATAGGATGGAGAGATGGCACAGCTAGGGCTGTGGATTCAGCCTCTTGGAGAGCTTCCAGGTCCCTTGAGCCCGTATTCTTTGTTAAAGGAGAATTGCATGATTACATGGTTGCCGATGTTTATTGCCTGCCACTCTGGGCCAGGTACTCTACTAGCTCCTTTATATACAATATTCTTACCACCACTCTGGGGGGCAGAGGCTAAAGACGCTGAAGGTCAGAGAGAGGTTGTACAATTGCTTATGCTTGGATTTAAATCTGGCCTGGCTATGCCAAAATGCTCGAATTTAATTATTTATCTATACTCAGGCTGAGAGCTGGGAGGGAGGTGGAGCCAGAGAATACAGACACATGGGGTAGCTGAGGATTGGGTCACATCCCTGTCTGGTGGGGACAAAGAAGCAACGGCAAGCAGCATGGTCCTGAGATGGGGGAAAAGAGAAAGCTTCCGTGGCTGCAACCATGTGGTTTACATCTATCCCTCTTGAAATCTTTTCAGAGCCCGCTGTCCCCTGAGGGTTTTACCTTCTCTTTGTTCTGACCAGTGTATCTCTCTTGACCTATTTGGGAGGAAGCCTCTAGGAACGTGTCTCTTGTTGTTACTCCTCCATTTGTTGGAGACGGTCCTGATTTCATGCCCGTCTGTCTGGTTTAGCACTTTAGCATGCTCAACAGTGCGTATTTGCTTCCTAAGTTCTATGGTTACCTGACTTATAAAACACTCTGCCACCACCTGAAATGTTTATTTCAAGCCCCTCCTTTTGGTTTGTAATTACATCTGTTTGGATTTCTCATTAATGACTGCCCCTCACAAGACCATAAGCCCCGTGAAGGCTGAAGCTGTGACTCTGTTTGCCCATTATGGTGTCTCCTGGGGCTAGCCCGGGCCCAGCATGGTGTAGTGCTCACAGCTGTTTGTAGTGATGGAAGAATTCTGACAGCTGTGGGACACCGTGGCTGGAGAGCAGCAGCAGGCCTCAGGGGCACAGGTGCCAGATCAAGTGTGATCTGGAAGAGCTGAAAAAGCTGTGGAAGAGAAGGGAGTGTTGTCTACTATAACAAAGCACCATAAACTTAAGGGTTTAAAACAATGGAATTTTACTTTCTCACAGTCCTGGAGGCTAGAAGTCCAAGCTCAAGGTGTTGGCAGGGCTTACTCCCTCCAAGCCTCTGGGGAGAATCATTCTGTGCTCCTCTAGCTTCTGGTGGCTTCTGGCTATGCTTAGTGTTCCTTGGCTTGGAGCTTCATCACCCCAGTCTCTGCCTCCATCTGTAAATGGCCTTCTTCTCTTACTGCGTGTGTCTCTGTGTTCTTCCCTCTTCTTAGAAGGACACAAATCACTGGATTTAGGACCTTCTCTAATTCAGCATGATATCATTTTGTTTTTGTTTTGTTTTTTCCTTTTCTTTGAGACAGAATCTCACTCTGTCACCCAGGCTGGCATGCAGTGGTGCCATCTCGGCTCACCGCAACCTTCACTTCTCAGTCTCAAGCGGTTCTCCTGCCTCAGCCTCCCGAGTAGCTGGGATTACAGGTGTGCACCACCACACCCAACTAACTTTTGTATTTTTAGTAGAGATGGGGTTTCACCATGTTGGCCAGGCTGATCTTGAACTCCTGACCTCATGTGGTCCATCTGCCTCAGCCTCCCAAAGAGCTAGGATTACAGGCGTGAGCCACTGCGCCTGACTCAGCATGACATTATCTTAATTTAATTACATCTACAAGAGCCTATTTCCAAATAAAATCACATTCTGAGGTGGATGTGAATTTTAGGGGGATTCTATTCAACTCACTGCAGAGGGATTGCAAAGATAACATCGCTGGGGAGGCAGGTTCTTTCAGGAATCAGTGTTTTCTGTGGCCAACATCACGCCATGGAAAGAGCTCTGCACTAGGAAAATTCTGGATTTCCCAACCAGCAGGGAAACCTTGGGCAAATCTCTTTGCTCCTTTGAGCCTCAGCTTTTCATGTGCTTCATGGAGATAAGGACATCTGCCCTGCCCCATCTCCCAGGATTATCATGGGAATCGAATGAAATGGTGGCTTGGAGAGCTCGTTGCAGGTTGTAAGCTGCTATAAGGCTGGGTAGGTATATAGTAAGCCATGCATCACCAATCACTGTTCTGAGACATTAATGTTGCCATGCTTATCAGTGTCCTTTGGGCTGACCACCTCCTTTCTCCTTGGTAGGATCACTGTTTTTACCACGGCACAGTGAGGGAGACAGAACCGTCCAGCGTCACGCTCAGCACCTGCCGGGGAATTAGGTAAGAGACCCTGAGGCTGCAGGTGGCACCTGGCACTCTCCCCAGGGATGGAAGTTTCAAGACAAGCAGACAAGGCTAAGGCAAGGACCTTGGGAAGCATTGAGAATGTGTGCAAGCCACCCCAGAGAGGGGCTGAGCCTGGGAGGAGGAGGGGCAAGGGAAAGCCTAAGTAATCCACAAATCCATTGGGATTTAACTTTCCAGGTGAACTTGATATTTAAAATATAGGTTTTGTTATTATTTAGATATGATAAGGCCAAAAAATCAGGGGATGACTGCCATTGAAAAGATGGTTATACTCACCAAAAAAGTAGGGGCCAGCTATGCCATGGGGGGCAGCACAGGAAGCACTGGGGTTGGTCAGGAGGCAGAGGGAGCCTGGAGAAATGTCAGCAGGAGCCCTTATTGTGGTTTCTGCAGGAAGGAATGGGTGAGGCAGAGTAAGCAGGTTTAGGATTGGTTAGTTCGTATAATTTCAGCAGGCTCTGGGGTTTATGGGCTCTCTGTTCTGAGTTTTCCTGTACCTGGTTCTGGGGTGATTAGGGAAGGGAGATAGTGGCCAAAAGGGTGAGAGCCCCATAAAATAGATGGCTAGGGTACGGGCTCTGGATTGGTTGGCTTCCATTTGAAAGGCAAGGTAGCTAGGAAATTGTTGATTATCTTTAGGATCAGCTAACCCTGGAAAAGGCAGTCCCTCTACGGTCAGCCAGACCAGATGTCAAAGCAACAGAAAATAAAAAAGAAGACATATAGTTGATACACTCCGGATGGATGAGTTTGTGCATTTGGTTCCACATCTGTTCAGTTCTTCTTTTGTAGAAGTACTTGGAGGTGGCGAAATAGGAAATGGATGGTTAACGAACAGAGAGTAGGTAGAGGAAGGAGAGGCAGGGATAATTTTCGAGACAGAAAATCAACTGAAAAGCTCCAACTAGAGTGTACTTTTGAGAGTGACCCTTCCTTCTCTGAGTGAGACTACCTGGCTTTGAGCCAGGAGCAGTTTACCAGCTGGGTGATCTTGGGTCTCAATGGTCTCATTGTAAAATGCGGATGAAAAGAATATATGCCTGCGGTTGTGAGGATTCAGCTTGTGAATAGCTATGTTACCTAAGAACTTGCAGTGACATACTGTCAGCATGCAGTGACCTCCTAGGCCTTTGCTTCTCTAGGTACGGTCTGTGGATGGGCAGCATCAACTTGACCTGGGAGCTGGTTCAAAATGCAGCATCTCAGGTTCCACACGACCTACTGGATTTCAATCTGCATTTTACCAAGATTCCCAAGTGATTTGTGTGCACATTATAGTCTGTACCTGAGACTGCGTGTTCCTTGAGAATATGGAGTATATCTCAAATGTCTGTTTCTCTCCTCCAGCCTGCATGCAGTAGGATCTATAAATGAAAGTGAAGTAATAAGTGTTGTCTACATAGACCCCTCTCAATATCCCCTGTTTTGTTTTTTTTTGAAGAAGGATGATGATCTGAGAAACCTGGTATCTCATTGCATATACTAATTGCCTGGGTTTTGATTGACTGTACTATGTGGTGCCTCTGTGTAGTGATAGACAGTGAGCTACAGACACACACACAGTGTTTCCCAGAGTACACAGGCTCAGTGAGAGACACTTCAGCCTAGTGTAAACTGGCTCTATGGAAGAAAAGGAAAAAGCCCTGATTCGTAGCATCTGCCAATATGCTGGCAAAGATACTCCCACCGTAATCAATTTAAAGCTACCAATACGATGTTATTGAAGGCAGAATTGGGAAGATATGCTTTTGCTTGGCTTTCATGAGCCGGTAGGAGATTGATTGATTCATTCAATTGATTGATTGATTGATTCCTCTTCCTCTCTTGATTGATTTATTCATTCAATTATTGCATTTTTCATTCAACAAATTGAAATTTGGTGTCTTCCTAATGCCAATGCCCTACACAGGTGGAGGGAACACCAGCACTGTAATTTTGGAGCCCTCAGTTTCCTTATCAATAAAATGAACATCAGTATTAGGCATGGTAGAGATTATTGCTGTAACTATAGTACTTTTAAACATAAAGGATTTTCCTCATCTTACATCAGTGAAACCATGCTGAGACTTATGCAGGCTCCTATACAGATCGAAGGTTTCTCACACTGCAGGTCCCAATTGTCTGTTTATAAATTGAGCCATGACTTTATTTGGATGCTGCATGGTGAGTTGGCTGGAGGAAATTAGGCAGGAAATGGGATTTGGATGGGAAGCAATAACAGAGTGGCCCCAAATCCCCCCTGCTTAAATGACCCGGTTGAGTCAAGCCAACTGGCCTCACAGTCGTATTTATAGGCCCAGCCACCGCCACCTGCAGTCTGCAAGTAAACAAAGTTTGTCCCAAGAAGGAGGAAAAAGAACATGCAGGTGTGACCTGCTTCTCTCTGCGTCTTCCTCTATCCCCTCAGTCCGGAGCAGTGGGAACTTGGCTTGGCCTCTTGTTAATCATTCCAGCAGCAGTGCTGACAGGGATGGGGGTACTTGGTGAGCCGTCTGTGTGTTTCTGTTTTGCACACTTCTGTCTGGTGAGATCCACCTGCCTTACTTTCCCATCCTTCTCACTACACACACCTTAAGAAGCCAAGGCTGTGGGTGGACTGATTTAAGAGCTGGAGACTCATGCCAGGTGGTTCCATTCAGATCCTGGAGAAGGAGCAGCTGCAACAGCAGTAGCATTCAAACGCATGTCGTCAAAATTCAAGGTGCCTCACAAAACTCACAAAGCACTGCTGCAGTGGAAAACCTCCATGGTGATTGTTCTTCTGTCCTGGAAACATGCTCCTGTGATTGGAGAAAATAGGTAGAATTTATATCAAGTGAGATCTTCAGGGCCAATGATACAACGAGGAATTCAGCTGAGCTTCTAGATGGTTGCTAGGCCCCCTCTTCTCTCCAAAGCAGTTCTTTAGGTTATTTTAGTTGAAGAAGTAATACATGATCTTAATAAAAATAAATTCAAAAAAGTACAAAAGAGTGTACAGTGAAAGACAGGTCTCTTTCTCACTCTAGATTTCCAGATTTCCTTCCTTCCCAGAGATAGCCGTTGTTACCAGTTTCTTGTATATCCTTTTTAGGAATATTCCTTGCAAAAAAAGAACATAGATATGTCATTGATATGGTTTGGCTCTGTATCCCCACCCAAATCTCATCTCGAATTGTAATCCCCACGTGTTGAGGGAGGGACCTGGTGGGAGGTGACTGGATCATGGGACGGTTTTCCCCATGCTGTTCTTATGATAGTGAGAGAACTCTCACAAGAGCTGATGATTTAAAAGTGTCAGTTTCCCCTGCGCTCCCTCTCTCCTGCCATCTTGTGAAGAAGGTGCTTGCTTTCCCTTTGTCATCTGCCATGATTCTAAGTTTCCTGAGGCTTCCCCAGCCATGCGGAACTGTGAGTCAATTAAATCTCTTTCCTTTATAAATTACCCAGTCTCAAGTAGTTCTTTATAGCAGTGCGAAAATGGACTGATACAGGAATATAATGTCTCTAATCTTATTTGAGACCTGGACCCTTTGAGAATTGATTGGAAGCTATGGGTACTTGTAAATGACACCAATAGGCCAGACATGGTGGCTCACGCCTGTAATCCCAGCGCTTTGGGAGGACAAGATGGGCGGATCACCGGAGGTCAGGAGTTTGAGACCAGCCTGGCCAACATGGTGAAACTCCGTCTCTACTAAAAATACAAAAATTAGCTGGGTGTGGTGGTGCATGTCTGTAGTCCCAGCTACTTGGGAGGCAGAGGCAGGAGAATCGTTTGAACTCAGGAGGCAGAGGTTGCAGTGAGCTGAGATCGTATCCCTGCACTCCAGCCTGGGTGACAGAGCAAGACCCCATCTCAAAAAAAAAAAATGACATCAATAAAAAGATGTGGCATCCCATCTCACTGGGGATGTCAAATGTCATTCTCTCAAGCCTGTCTAAGCTTAAGACATTCTCTTAATGTTTACACTGGGTTAAGGTGTCTCTGACTGAGCCTGTATATTCTGGGAAACGCTGTGTGTGTGTCTGTAGCTCACTGTCTATCAGCAGAAGGTGTACCTAATTGGTAAGTTGTTCACTTAAAAAATTGTTTTTTGTTAAAAATTATCATTATATAGCTAATACAAGTTTAGTGTTAAATGTTCAAATCATGCAGGAATATACAAGCGTTAAGAAGTGAAAGTTCTTTATCTTGTCCTACCCTCCCAAACAATCCCATTCTCCATCTGTAATTACTGTTGGAGGTATCCTTAATTGAAATACATAATTTTGTGTTTGTGTGTTTGTATGTGTGTATGTATATATGTGTATATATGTATATGTATATACCATATGAACAGATTTAATCCAAATGAGATTACCCTATGCATACAGTTTAGTGTTTTTTTCCCAACATAGCATTATGTTTTAGGTGTGCATAGATCTATCTCATTCTTTTAATGGTTGCATAATATCTTTTGTACTAATGTCTGACAGGTTTCATTATATAGAAAGTCTTTCAGAGGTGTACAGTAAATCATCCATAGTGGTCTATTTGATGGATCACCCTTATATTACAGCAACTCTGCCTTCAAAAGCTTAGGGCTCTCGCTCGCTGTAATTATACCTTAACCCTGGTGCCTGGACTCAGATTCTGGGAGAGAGGGAGAGAGGGACAATATGAGACTGAGAATGAATGCAGGAGAATGTGTGGGAAAGAGTGCATGTTGGCCTGGAACAAGCTCAACATCTAAAGCAAGGGATCCACGTTTAAGAGCTAGCTCCGTACTTCCTGGCTATGTGATCTCTGTGTTTTCCTCTCCCCATTAAATTCTTTCCTTGTCTTTGCCGTGGCCAGCTGGTCCCTCCCTAGGCCCTACTCTATCCAAAAGGTGGCTAAGTCCTGGGAGTGGGGTGAGTGGTCAGGGGCATACCCCAGAGTACCAGCCTGGACGTTAGGAGAGCTGGGGTTTGCTCCGGCTCTAACGTTAACTCAATAGGTGAGCTTGAGC